GTTTTAAGATTCAAAGCAAAAATAACTTTAAGACATGAATGATCTAAAAATGTTTGTGCATTATTCTTAAATCAACCAAATGCATTTACAGTCATGGCTCTAATTTGACAAATAAATGTTTTTGACAAATAAACGTGGGATTTCTCCCACTGATAACACTACGTCCAGATGAACAGAATCAACTTTTTGGGATTGAAAAATAAAAGTTTTAATGATTATTGTTTGTTTTTAAATGTTGCCTCAACATGTTCCAGACTTCGACATTAATTTAATGGGTTTAGGTTATTAATAATTAATAAAAGTATTGCATTAGCTTTTTAGAATAACAGCAATATTTATAGACAGTCCCTCATTTTTAGAGGTTTTAAAATGACTGGTCAGTTCCTGTGTTATTCTATTATAAATTAAGCAGATAAGAAGTGATCTTCTTGATGCATGCTCAATAAGGTAAGTGAATCCCCACAAGTTGATTCTGCTCATCTGGACGTAGCAAAACAAAAAAACAGAACAAAAAAAACCTCTGCTACATCCAGATGAACAGAATCAACTTTTGGGCACCTTCACCAGTATTTCTCCATTGCTCCCTCTTTTGCTTTCTTGGTATCATGGTATTATTTGCTTTATCAACAAGTAATGAGGATTTTAACCCTCACAGCTCGTCTGACTGTGAGTCCCAGCAGCTCTCAGTTCTTTAAAGGAGACTTTGTGTCTCTGAGCTGTGAGGAGGACGACAGCTCTGCTGGATGGACTCTGAGGAGAAACACAAGCAAAGGAAATACCACTCAGTGTGGAGATGGGTGGGGAACACCAGCTGGTTCTTCCTGTAAGATCAGTAACACATATCAAGTTGACAGTGGAGTTTACTGGTGTGAGTCCAGAGAGGGTCCCATCAGTAACATGGTTAACCTGACAGTCACTGGTAAGCTGAGTGTGTGGAGTTAGTGTTGATGAAGCTGTGTGTAAATGGATGAAATGCTGTAGTTTGTCTCTGTGTTGAGGTGGATCAGTGATCCTGCAGAGTCCTGTCCTCCCTGTGATGGAGGGAGATGACGTCACTCTGCTCTGTAAAACAAAGACCACTCCCTCCAACCTCCCAGCTGCTTTCTATAAAGATGGCTCCCTCATCAGGAAGCAGCCTACAGGTCACATGACCATCCAGCATGTTTCCAGGTCTGATGAAGGCCTCTACAAGTGTGACATCAGCGATCATGGAGAGTCTCCATCCAGCTGGATCACTGTCACAGGTGACACACTCACCTGTCTGTGTTTCTGCAGCTTTCAACATTCACAATGTGACGACAACTTAATGACTGTGTTTGCTTTATTTTAGGGGAAGACACCACCACACCTCCACCTACATCCACACCTCCACCTACATCCACTCTTCCTGCATCCCTTTCTCCTGCTGTTGTCTGCATTTTGTCAGTTTTTGGATCAGTCTGTGTTATGGTCATGCTGGTTTTACTAACTCTACTGGTGAGGCGATTTGTTCTCAGAAAGCCTGAAGGTGAGAAGATTTCATATATACATATATATACACGTGTGTGTGTGTGTGTGTGTGTGTGTGTGTGTGTGTGTGTGCAATTTTGTTTATTTATATGTTGTTTATTTTTTATTTTGGCTCATGTCATCATAACTTGAAGAAGACGACGTCAGAGATGATATCAGATACAGTGAAATCAAAATCTCAAATCCTCATCAACAGCCAATGAGGCGGCGTAAAGGTGTGTGACTGTGTCTCTGTGTGTGTGTGTTTTCTAACAACATTCAAAAGAAGGAGAAAACTTGTTTTGATGGTTAATGTAAAGTGGCTAAAGTATAATATTATGTTGCACTTTTCAGGAGAAATATCTAAATAAGTGCTTCAGAGGAAAAATACTAAAACATTGAAACAGTAAATTTACCAACAGCACTTTTAAAAAGATGATTTTTAAACTGCAGTTTAAAAGAGACCACAGATTTCAGGCTTAGAGCGAGAGCACTACAGAATTCGGGGTTATGGGTTTATTCTGATATATTTTGTTTATAGTGAATAGTGATGTGTCGGTCGCAAACGAAACGATTCTTAGAGTCGGCTCTTTGAAGTGAACAAAGGAGACGTGCTTCTTTTCTTTCTGTCTCTCTCATACTTTTTTTTTTTTTGCTTCACGCCGCACGTGAGTCTTGTGTTTGCACTGAACACAGGGCGGAGAGGCGGTAGTTACACTCCCAGTAGCACAGGAACAGGTAGGAGAGGGAGAAAGAGAGCCAGGGACAACAACGTCACATTAGAAAGGTATAGTAATCATCCACAACTATTTTCAGTTGCAGATGATAAAGGATTCAGAAAGTTTATCCATGCAGTGAATCCTACGTATGCAATTCCAAGCAGGAAAACTCTCTCCCAAAAAATCATCCCAGACCTATATGACAGAATATGCATCTTCTTGTTGTTTTGCATATTTTAATTTATATTTTATTGTGTTCTGGTTTGAAGTGTTTTATGTTGTTTCACTTTAAATTTGTTTAAAAGAAAAAAGCTGAAAATTTAAATAGTTAAAAGTTGAAATGTAAATAGTTGGTTTTTGTATTTTATATTTTATTTTTTACATTTTATGTGCAGTGACCAGTCAGAGCGGGCACACTCTGTTTTGTGTCATTCTTTTTAAACCCCTGTAGAACTGCAACCACATAAGCTAGCACAACAATTTTTGGTTTTGCACATGAAACCGGAGGAGTTGTACTTGGAGGCCATCAGCTTGTCCTAAGTCACGGTTTCCGTCCACATAGGCCTTGCAAAAATTTTGTAAAAAGTATTTGCAGGAACAAAAATATAATATTCCAGAAACACGCTTTGCCAACCTGATCAGCTGTTTGTATCACTTCCTAACTGGAATAGACGTCAGCGCGAACTATCGCGTGTCCGCCATTATCTGCCCAAAACCGGAAGCAACATCATTTATGGAGAAAATGTAGTTTTTTACCTTCAGGGCCATATAAGTTACACTGGTGTTTTTAAAAGTCATGTTTGACTTTATGGTTTTCTGTATCGTTTCTGGGATGCTTAGAACTCAAATCACACTGCTGGAACACACATGTTGTTTTTGTTTTTTTGCAAATTTGCATTATATTAATTTTCCGGTTTTCCTTCAGTATTCAGGAGTGTCTATGAAGACACTCTAAAAAAAAATTCCAGAGGTGGGAAACTACGTTGTCCAACTTTTTTGTATTTACAGTTTTGAGGGATAAATCTCTGAAATTTCTCTAACTAGAAATTATATGAAAAAAATAAATAAATAAATAATAATAATAATAGCGAAAGGTAAGGAATTTCAGAAAAATTATGCATAGCTATAAAATATAAAATATAGTGTTTGTATTGGTGTTGTGCTTTTTTAAATGTAAACTTATCATATTTTACAAAAAAAAACTGTATGTGGTGGAGGGAAATGGAGATCAAACATATAATTTACTAAAAATATCCCATGGAGCTGAATTTTTATTTATTAAATTTTTTTGCAGACCTGTGTAATTAAAAGACTCTCTCTCTCTTTGCTCTCTATGGATAATATAGGAAGAAAGCTTTTGTGTGGTGGTAAAATCCTAGGTTATCCTGATCTTAAAAACCTTTAGCCTTGGCAAATGTTGAAGACTAGTTTCAGAAAGTCTTATTAGTGAATGCCTTGGAAATGCCTTTAATTTCTGTGACATATGCCTCTAGGTTTAATCTCTTTGATTGAGGGGACACAATAAAGCTCTTCTCTGTAGATGTTATCTTCATCAATAAACCCAAGGCACATCACTCTCCAGGCACTATTCACTTGGGAATAGTATTATATTGTGTTTATATATTTATTTTATTGTATTTGTAGTTTTTAAACATACTATAAGACGTTTTTAGTGCAGTAAAAATCAGACAAGGGCAGCATTAACAAAAAAAGCATCTATTAATAGAAAAAATGGATTATTCAGTGTATTCAGATACACAGCTGTCGTCATTTTTTAGGCACGTAACATTTCTGGACCCAAACCTTCATTTTACAGCTACTTGGTGACGTTTTTTCTGCTGGCTGTGTATTTGTCATCAGTGACATCAGTAGTGGCTCATCCTGCAGCATTCTTTGTTCTTGAGATGCTTTTAAAGAGTTGAGACATACTTCAAGATGACAAACTGATTGTTTTTCAGGTCACAGACAGGAAGGCAGAGATAAGGAGAGGACCTGAGATTACAAAACCAGATCAACACATTGTGTAATAGCAGAGGCCTAATACTAGAGGTGTAACATCGTAAAGTGTTCTGGTTATTGTAGGGACCAGATTTGTTTTGATGGTTGTGGACCATAGATTGCAGAAACTGCACCCTTCCACTACACACATGGTCTATAATTAATATCTTGTGGTTTAATTTCACATTAGCATGCAAATGAAATAATTCACTTTATTTATCTTAGATTAGGTTTGTTTAAGTGATGCAACCAAAACTTAGTCTATAAATGTTCACACTGCTCACCTGCTGAACCGTTCACACGGTTGTTTTTTACATGCTGGACTGCCTGTTTGTCAGCCTGTGGTTAGTCTGTTAACACAGCAGCTCTGTGGTTGTCCAGTTTCCTGTTTCTAATGAAACACCTCAACTGCTCAGGTTTCGCTGCAGGGCAGTAAAAGGGATTTTTAAACTCTGTATAGGTACAATACATTGACTAAAATATTCATTTTCAAAATATTAATTTTATGTATTAAAAAATAAAAATGTACAGTTCTGTTAATCATACCTGCCATCTGTCTTGCACCTCAGATAAGGTGCCTGCACCATCAGCACAAAGCAGCTGTTTCACTGCTAATTTGAATACTGGACACAAAAGCAGTAGCTGAAATGGTTTTGCATCATATTTAAAATATTAAAAGTAGTATAAAAATGACCATACTGTCTGCAGTGATGTCCTCTGTGTGTTTTATTGTGCAGAGACTGATTCAGCTGCAGTCTACTCAGCAGTGAGAACAGAAGAGCTCAGTTATGGACGAATCATCATCAAAGAGAAGCAAAGAAAGCCAAAGAAAAGAGGTACAGCTGCGCTTCTTTGTCTTCATCATGGATAAGAATGCGAGGAAGAGTCCAGCAGGTGTTGAGACTCCTGTCTGGATCAGTCTGACACTGTTTACTAATTACTCTTAAGCTAAGCATCTTTATTTAAACAGGGCTGAAGTCATGAAATAATTAACAGGGAAATGCATTAAAGTGCGAGGTCATCACAGTTTTTCCACCCCCAGAAACAAGTGATGCTGACACTTATCCCTTATGAGTTTCACAAAGCTATGTGCATGTATGCTTCAGCTTTATGCAGCTTGTGGTTACTGTACACACATGCACAAGTGTGATTTCCACTCTCATCTATAGAACAGAAAGCTCCAGCAACACTTGAAGCACAGACACCAAATTTATTGTCTGTTCAGACTTGTAAGGCCATCGCCTTATACTTATTAATCTCTTCTGTTCATCATGAAAGATGCATAATGTGAAGTTATGGCAGAAGCATAGAAAATCACTATTTGCACCAAAAGTTATGAAATCTGTAAATATCTGCAAAGAAGAAGCACAGCACAGTTTTTGCAGTTAGCAGAAATTTTGCACTTAGTGTGACGTACACGCATCCCATGATTTTTAGCATGTTTTCATTAAAACAGTGCTGTGATCAGTTGTCTGCTTTACATATAACCTTTAGTATCACTTCTGTTCTCTTCTTTCTTGACAGTGAAAGTGTTATTCCTATTTACACAATTTAAAAAAGTAAATAATCTAAATAGTTTTTTGTGTTGTTTCTAATGTAATGGTAAGTACCAGTATGACTACTGCACTGATGTCTTCTTTGTGTGTTTTATTGTGCAGAGTGTGATCCAGCTGGAGTCTACTCATCAGTGCGAACTGGAGACGTCAGTTATGGACAAATCACCATCAAAGACAAGAAAAACAGATCAAAGACCAGAGGTACAGCTGCTCTTCTTTGTCTCCATCATGTGTTTTTGTCCTTCATAAGGACGATATTTGTTGTAAATATTGAGATGAGCTGCAGGCTGTATGAGTACCTCAGAAACACCTCTGCTCATATGCATCCAGGCTTGTGTGATACATCCTTGCAACCATTCATGGGGTTTGATAATTTACTGATTGATTTACCATCCATCTGTTTTAAAAGTTGAAGGTTTTGAGAGCTTATTGCAGGGCAAACACAGGAAGACAAACTCAAATTCTCATGTATGACCAAGTTAAAATCAACATCTAATTTAACAGGCATGTCAGAGGCCACGTGGCAAAACTAAGTAACAGTTCCCTCTAAGCTGAGCGCGTGAGCAATCGCACACTGCTGACACAGTCTCCACACAGAAAACCAGCGGAATTAAAATAAGTACATGTGTTTACTTCAATTTCAATTCAGGCTGGATTTTTTTTGTGCGCAGTGCAGATTTTCTGTGTCAGCAGTGTGCGATTGCTCACGCGCTCAGCTTAGAGGGAACACTGGAACATTTAACATGTAAGAACTGTGATGAATTGTCCATATCATCATATTTAAAGCAACCCTGCTTTAAAAATGACATCATTAAGTCCTGACACTGAATCAAACTAACAGTGTCTTAGATAAAATGTTTAAATTAACATCATTTCTCACACAAATGCAATGAATTAAATTTATCATTTATGTGTTATTGTATAAAAAAGTCTGAGCATTAAATATATTTGATGGCTCTGAGGTGATTCACAATAACAGGTAACTGGAACCTGGATTGTAGCTCCATCAGAATCAGAATCAGAAAGACCTGAAATATATGACAGAGCAGCATGACGTTGAAGATAAGCACAGGGCACAAACAGGCAGTAAGAGTGAGATAAGAACCTGCAGAGCTGCTCTGTGTTGTTCTTATGGATGTGTTCTGTTAAAGTTAGAAGTTATTCTTTTTTTAGCAGAGTATCACAAAAAAAGGTTGGTCTATATGTCTGAGAGTAAGCTTAAGCATTATACTATAGACTATTACAGTTACAATCTTCATAAAAGCAACATTTTGCATTAACACCTGAATTTTAAACATCTATATTTACATATCTATAGCCTCCTCTTTCTGAAATGCTTTTTAAACCGTGAACTCAGTTAAAGCGTTTCATCAGAAACAGGAAACTGGATGACCACAGAGCTGCAGTAGAGTTTAGCTTAAAAAGTTTTAAAGATTGACTTCTCATCATAGTCCTGATGATAGTGTGTATATGTAGTGATAACGTATTGGTCTATACAGTACTCTGTGGTAAAATGAAACAGGAAAGATGACCACAGGGCCTCTGAAACCTGCTGGCAGTTTCTAAGAAATCTGATCATGATGCTTACTGGGAAATAACTTCTTTTAACACATCCTGTATACTGACACCACTTTCTATGTTTCACTTCCAGCACTCATGTCCTGTTAGACACTGTTGCTCATTATGCAATGACGTTACATACCTTTTAATTTTTGTAACCTGGTGCATACAGATGCACTCAGGTTGAAGACATGAGATTTATTTTTGTTTTCTTCTGGCTCACCTGAAGCACCAGTAGTGCACCAGTGACAGGCCTGTGGTAACGTCATCGTTAGTGCATGCAACAACAAATATGGTGACTATAAAGTAGAGTTAATAGATTATTGATCCTTATGCAGCCATGAGAAGACCACAGCCAACAAATTCTAAAGTCTGAAGATAAACTGATAGAACTGGATGCATTTACTTTTTTCCAGCACAACTTTTTTAAAAGATGAATTTCTTGCCAACTGTTGTTTTCACGTGGACACATTTTAATCACATTCAAAGTGACATCACAATGACGTGAATGTTTCTAGCTCTAGGTTTGAGTCTTGGGTCACCTTTCAGCCTGGACATTAAGCTTAGCACCAGGACTTTTTCATAATTAGAAATCCGAGGGCTAAATTTGGTCTGTTTTTATTCTTCATCTGGTCATACGATGGTTATTTGCGCCCATCAGGGAATCACAACTTGAGCTTTTACTGAGAAATACTTAACTCTCATCAGGCTCATCAGGTCAGTATCAGCAGAGGTTTATAGTGATTGTGAGACGTTACCTGTGATGAGGCACATGATCAATAGTGGGTCAGTGGGACAACTCCCACTAGGGATTAAATACTTGGGACTCTCCACAATTTGACTTTAGAACTGAAGAAGAAGAGACGTGAAATGTGAAGAAACGTGATGAAGTCCAGTCGCTTTCTTTCCGAGCTCCTATACAGACACAGAACCACACAGATGGTGTTTTTGGAGCTGTAAGAATTTGGACTGTTTTAACTGGGAACTGAAGGAGCGTTGAATGGGCTAATTGTGTATTTTATCATTTTAACAAGTGTTTACAACATAACATGGAACAAAAACAAAGCCTTAATTACAACCTTAAAAAAATTGTAGACCCTGAACAACCAAGACATCAACAATATAGAATTATGTTTCTTATATAGTTTTTGTAGGAGCAACTTCTTGAGCCACGCCTCTTTTTTAACATTTCATATGCAAGGAGATAGAAAATAAGAAGTGATTTTCTTGTAATGCATTAAAGTCTTGAGCAATAGTTCTCCAGGATCTCTGAAGACTTAAAGTTTTGTTTTGCACACTGGCTGCTTTTTCACTCATTTTCATCTTTCATCTTTCTAGTTTCCATTTTCAGAGGTACATTTCTCTTTTTGTTAATTTCTTAAGCCACTTAACAATCATTGAAGTACAAAAAAATCACCTAACTTAAGAAATGAACCAGTGTTGTGTTTACACATAAAAGAAACCAAAGCAAAACTATTTTTTTCTATTCGTCTATATGTGCACCAAAAAGCTCACATACACACAGCTTGTGTCCCATTGCAGACAACAAAAAGAAGGAAGACCAACTTTCTTAAATGTCCAGTGAGATTTATTATGCAGTCATCTATATTTATCTATATGTTTATTTTGGTTCATTTCAGCCAGTGGAGGGAAATCTGGAGGTGATGACATCACATACAGTGACCTCAAAATATTACATCATCACCAGCAGCAGCCAACCAACCAGAGCAGAGGTATTGTTTTGTGTGCTGTGTGTCTGTCAGAATAAGGAAGGTCGAGTCAATAAAAAATATCAATAAAAACTAAGGTTAAAGTGATCTCTCTGCTTTCAGCTCAGACAAGCTTCTCATGTATTTGCATCCATCCTTGACATTAATGCCATCTTATGCTATCAACAATTGCTTGTTGTCAAGTTTGCCTCCCATAGAGACTGTAGCATCTTCATTTCACAGGCGTTACTGTTAACAGTGGCTGGAGCTAAGATGCCAGCTGCTTTTACTGATTGTTTGCACGTTGTGGATAAGCCTCTAGTCTTTGGGGGGAGATTATCATGCTAGACAAGCTTCCTCTGGATCTACTTTCACTTGTCCTGAGATCAGCTGCAAGTCTTGCTTTGTGTGGAAACACAGCTAGGATCAGCAAAAAGAGGAGTTTCTATGTTTATCACATATATTCTTTTTTTGAAAAACTGAAGGGGAACATTAATCTCTAGAATGATCATTTTTAAGGGCAGGGACTTAAACATTTAAGGAATCATTTCCCTTCTACACTAAAAGTGACATTGTGTGGTTGTTACATTTACAAGAGACAAACATGTAACTTGAACACAATGACTTTATGTTTCTATGGTGAACGTAATTAAATCATGTAGGATCTGCTTTCAACAACTTAAAACTAGTTAAATTTATTCATGTATAGCAACAGTGCGTAACTGCCTGGATTTGCGATATCACAATATCACAATATCACATGCAATTTCAAACACAGAAGACAGAACATACACACACCACATGCATGCTATCTCTATTTATTGTGGCTTAACCTGTCAAGGACAGAAAAGTAAAGAAAATTCGGTATCAATCAGCTTTCCCACTTTTTTTTTAGTTTGGATTGACAGTTTGATTTTGCAGTGTTTAGCACTGTTGCCTCAAAGCTAGAAGATCCCAAGCTCAAATCCATCATCAGGCAAGGCCATTTCTGTGTGGAGTTTAAATAAACATTAAAAAAATCATTGAGTGAATTTCCACGCGGTTAAATTGCTTTATTTGAGCATTATGCAATTCTTTTATTCCAACTTTATGAACCAACTTCATTAACTCATGATGAGTGAACTTGTTTACTGCAGTTGAGTCCAACTGAATTCAGTTGAGTTGACCCAGCCCATGCAAATTGTGTTAGTCCAATAAAAGTAATTAATAGAAAGACATTTATTAATGTGGAAATCCTTCCCATGATTATTCTAACTTCATTTAAAGAGTCTCGATGCATGCTCAATCATGCAGATAAGTAAAAAGAGTTTAAAGAGTTATTCTTTGGAGTGATCAACAAAGTCAAATTCTGGTTGACATAAAATTGTCGTGTGCGTCTTTTTTTCCTCCAGTTTAATGGATTTAGGACACAGCTGTCATCTGTCCATCTGTACATCAGGGTTGCAGGAGGCAGGAGTCTATTCCAGCTGTCGTAGGGCCAGAGACACCCTGGTCACCAGTCTATCGCAGAGAGACAGACAACCTTTCACACTCACACATGTGGGCATCTTAGAATCATTAACCTAATCCCACTAACTTGCCCATGGAGACACAAAGTCCACACAGAAATGGCCTTGTCTGTTTTGCTGTACGCCAGGGACGACAAGGTTGCTTCTCTGCAACTTTGAGCAGGGGAATGAGTCCTTACTGTCGTCTATTCAAACACGCTGATTGACTGTTCAGAGTATCCGGTACAGTGTATATATTTTGTGACAAAGTTGAGTCCGTTTGGCATTTCGCGGTAAAATGTGTGTTCTTCTTTTAATATTAATCACAAATGACCAGATATAATGGGCGGGTCCTTGTTCTTACTCAGTTAAACTATATCATGGACGTCTGGGTGCTGAACTTTATTGTAACACCCGGGCAAACAGCTGAAAGAATTTGGCCCCAGGAATCAGTGTATAATACTACAAATGATACAGTTTATTATAGTGATTGAATCCCTTTTTGTAGGTCATGGGCAAATTACTTTGCCAAAGGATAATGTTGAAGTTTGGATTTATGCTCATATTTAATGATTTATGAGTCCCATGTTAACGTTCAGTGTGAGCACAGGATGTGGTTTGAACTTAGTGAAGAATTTAAGGGAGGTGAAAGTCTAAAAGTTCAGGCAGTCAGGAAGGAAACCACTGCCTGGTTGTTTTGCACTCTTTGGTCAGTTGCACCCTTTTTGTTGTTATCCACAGAATCCACGTATTTGAGCCGCCTGCTGGAAGTTCAGATTTAGTCTTTCTCTGAGTTTGAATAGAACACCTAATAAAAAGATTACCTATATATGTGAATATGTTTCCAATTTGGATCCTCCAACTTAAATTTTCGTGGCGCTCATCAGTATGTTTTTTTGAAACAGGGAGGCTCTGAGTCGCACTTCCTGGTTGGTCTATTTCACATTATTTGTGACAGTTTGGCTCCAAGACTATTAATGTGAAAATTGTGGCACCACTGATGTGGATTTTTTTTAAATAAATGAGTGAGTTATTTTAACTGTGACTGGTCTCATATTGTTTGAACTGTGTGTTCTTGTGTTTTCAGAGCTTCCATCAAATCCAAATGTTGTCTATTCCTCACTGAAGAAATCTGCAAGTCCAACCTAACAACCAGCTGCTGGTCCACACAGGCCGTCAGACCAGAGGGCTTTCGTTATAAAACAGATGTGTATGTATTCTGTTTGATCTCTTCATTAAATGCACTCACAGAACTGCAGACGGACAAAGAAAAACTGAATGTGGTGATGAGACGTTTTTGTAAAGAAGCTCAAAAAAAAGTATTTTTGTCACACTGCCTCTCTATGTCTGCAAGGCCAAAACAGAAACATTATACTGTATGTATATGCTATGCATTATATAGTCTATAACTGATAAATAAACATAATGCAATGTATTTAAAATAATCAGTAACTTGTGGGACCCTGCTGTCGTCTCCACAGCAGAAACCTTTTTTTTGTGCAGGATCAATAAACTTTGGTCGGACTTGTTGTTCTTCTCGTGTGGTTCTGTGGGTTTCATGAAGCTCTCTGATGGAAAACATGAGTTGCTGTGGCTAACCCATGCACGTCTCCACAGAGCAGATAGAAAACAACAAATATCAATAAAACCACAACCTCAGACTGAGAGCAGCACTAAGATCACTCAGTGGGTGGAAACTTCACACAAAAGCTTGAGAAGCTCGTATGTGTCTGTGTACAGTAAGTTTAGATTCAAGGAAATGAAATATGTGAGACTTTAGATGCTGTTTGAAATAAATACGTCTCCATCAACAGATATCTTTCAGATGCATCTTAGTTACTGTGTTGTTATGTGTGGTTGTGCTTGCACAGGACACATAGTGACGACATCTGTCCTCGTTCAGTGTGATGATGATGATCTCGGTGTCGATTCAGCCAAAATCTGGGTCAGATTAAGCGGCCATAACAAATGCACACTAACATGAATCATGTGTTTCTGAAAGAGAATAACTTCTACTGATATTTATTTATTTTGAATTTCTGCAATACTAAATACCACTGGGACCCGTCATATGACACGTTTTTATTATCAAAAAGGTGAAGTAAACCATTCATTCATAATTTAGAATAATCTGGAATGAATCAGGAGAGAAAATCTAAGATTAGACACTGGTTCAGGTGGAAAAGTGAGACTTGCATTTAGCAGCAGTCTGTGTGGAAGCTCGCTTGCATCGCTTGTTGTTGCTTTTTTGTTTGCTTCATTTTTCAAAGCAGATCCTCGAGTTTGTGTTAGAGTGATTTTATACAGTGTCTCTCTGGTTTCCTTCAATCCATGCTTACACGCTCCTCAGTAAAAACATGAATTTAACTTTGTTCTCAGAGAGGTAGGAAGAGGTTTGAGCTCTACGTGTTTATTATTATAGGTATGAGGATGAGTGTCATCTGTTCAAACCCAAATAATTATCTGTCTGTAGATGTGATCACGTCAGTTTTGTGCCTAAACTGTCACCACAGTCTTTCCGGCCACTTTAATTATATACAATCAATAACTGGTCAGTTTACAGCTAACTGTAAGTAGCTGATTCCAACAGCATCCACAGACAGTAAAAAGCACCAACCACATCTTAAAGCACAGTCTGGTGCTGCCATCTAGTGACACTGAAGAGCTCCAACCACTGATTTTAGGATCATTCTGAGTGACTTTAACTGCCTCGTGTAATTTCGACTTCTTTTTATCTATGTTTAAAAAACTTATATTACACAGACAGACACATCTATACTACAATCATTGTAATATGATGGTATGGACATTATAGCGTGACTCATTTTAATCTGACATTTCATTCTTTGCTCAACTAGACTGTGAAAAGCACAGATGTTTACAGCATCTGTATAAGATATTTGTATCAGTCAAATAGATGCTGCCACTCACAGTGTCCTATATAATGTTAATTCAAAGTTTCTTTAAGACCAGCCCACTCACCTTAGGGAACATACAGACATACGTGCATGTCGATGCTGCAGAAAATTCTTCATCTATGTTTCATGTGATGATCAGCTTTTCTGCTCCAACTGAGCATTCAAAGCCCCTTTTGGCATATTTGCCATGCAGACTGGAATCGAACCATCGACCTCCATGATTAGCAGTTGACTTTGCTCTACCAGGTCTGGATTGGTTTCAAATTTGCAGTGATGTACATTTAGGTCACACTTACTAGCCACTTTATTGGGTACACCCCTTCAACTGCATGTTAATAGAAATATTTAATCAGCCAATCACATGGCAGCAAGTCAATGTATTTAGACATGTAGCAGCTTCTTCTCATGCTTTGTGGACTCCTCAGTACTCAGTCTGAGTGAATTTTAACCTGAGTGCTTGTGAAACTTTTTTCCTCTGTTGGACTTAAGGTGTCGGTCACTGTTTACACTGACCTCAGTGTATTTTAAGTTCTTTTGTGGTTTGAGAAAAGCATTGTTTTAACTCTACTTTGACAATGGTGGGAACTAAACAAAACCTTTGTAATTCAATACTTTGTTCTTGTGCAACATTTGTATTATTGAAAAAATCGCTGTAACATCAACAGACGAACAAATTACCAACTACTGACCAAAACATGGTCTTGTGCTGCCAGTGTAGTGACACTGAAGTGCTGACAACTAAATGAGTCGACTGCAGTTCTCAATAGAAGTTGGACTCTGACAGAAGAGTAAACAGTAAACAAGTATTAGAATATAAAGCTATTACAGTTACTTTCAACAAAAAGAACATTGTGTGGGTGAAAAGACTTATTTTTATCATAAGCACATGTCTAACATTTGCACCAAACCTTGAAAATCCAGTGCAGCACTTTAGTGATGTTTCGGATTCACATCATCAAATGTGCTGTGCGATGCTATCATCTCTATACGGACCTCTGAGGAATATTTCCAGCACCTTGGTGAGTCCATGCCATGAGGGATTATGTCAGTTCTGAAAGCAAAAAGACGGTTCAATCCAGGACTAACAAAGTGTACCTAAAAATGTGGCCAGTGAGTGTATGCACTGTGTAGAAAGACATCAGTCAGTCATAGGGCCAGTAGGTGGCAGCAGAGGAGCTTCAGAATGCTCAACAAATGGTGGTTTTCATCTGACCTTTGACCTGTCTCTTGATAATAATGATAACTGTTAATAATAATTTAAAAACTGTCTCACTGTCAACAGCAGATGAGTCTGTTTCTTGTGCATTTTTAGTTCCTGATCCAAAGAGATGAATTGGCTCAGACTGATGATCCAACAGTTTTATTCATGTCCTCTTTTAATTACGATTACATTTGTGGAACTTTTAGTTTGTTTAATTTTGGCTTTGCTCATCTCTGCTATCTGTTCTGAGGCGAGGATGATGAGGCATTCGCTCCTCAGGTGGTAGAAGTTTATAAACTGCTCTTCACAAAGACGCTGAAGACCAACGGCCTGTAGTATGAAGCAGAATTCTGTCTTATCCAGGTAACTTCAGCATTAACCCTGGATTTTTCTGTACTGAATGTTGGTTCACTTTACTCACCTAACCTTTTCCACAGCAGGTGGTAAAATCAAAACAAACAGACGGCGAGAAAGAGAAAGAGAGAGAACACACCTCGGCAGGAAGTCAGTGAAAACAGGATCCATGACAGAAGCTGGAGTCTTTTATGTGTTTGTTTTTTCATAATGACTTGTTAACAGTGACCAGAGAGAGATTGACAGAGATATACAGACAGACATGTCACCAGTTGCTACTGACAACTATTCTCTAATTCTTGACTGATGGATGTTCATCTTTTTAGAAAAATAAAGTGAAATAATCTCAATAATATGTTGGAACTTTTTAAATAATACACTTACCATTCATGGCAGTGTCCTGTTACATGCATACATACAGAGATATAATCATTAAAATATAAGAATGGTCCCTGATGAGTTTGTGACATTTTGTTTTGATTCAGGCATGACATCATCATGTTTTTCGAAAAAATAAATATTCAGATGTCAGTTTCTTTAATTTAATTACACTGTTTCTCTCAGTGAAAAAGAAAATGCAAAAAAAGACAAATGAATAAAAAGACTTAAAAAAAGATAAATGCTTAGCATTCTTTACAGTACAGTAACAGGATGTGAGTGTACGTGCAGGGGGTCAATGGGTCTATGTGACGGTGTTTCCACAGGAGCAGAGGGAAGGGTGGGTGGACAGATGGCTTTCACAGATCTTGGGGAAAAAGCTGTCCATCAGCTGGCTGCTGGTGGTCTTTATGAATCACTGTGATTCACCGTGTTAGGTAATGTCTTTGTTTCCATGATGAGTAACACGATACAGACTCTTGCATACAGTTTTACACTTATTGTTCCATATTTATCGATGTGATCATAAAATAGGACTCTGTGGACTTTATGTCAAATTTAAATAATAAAACTGAACTGAATATTAAAATCTGCTCTGACACCGTCACACTACTGACTAGTGTTTTGTGTCACCTCTCACATCTGTACCATATGGAGTGAAGGTAAGGGGAGGCAGTTACACTCCCACTAAAAGTCCATTTAAACATCTGTATTGTGAAGTGTTTACAAAGTGTTTTCTTTATGTTATGTAATGTCTGTGAAGTCTTACGTCTCTAATCAGAGCAGCTCTGCTCTCCCCCAGACTCTGTGATACAGAGATAAGCATGAAAGTTGTATTGATCACAGCTTTTACACATGTACATCTCTTATAGAGACAGGTTAGACATAAACTTGATGGTAGCTTTATACAGGTTATGTCACTTCACCTTGAATCACAGCAGAGAAACCTGGCAAATAAACTGCACTTCAGTCATACAAAAAATATGTTCACTGTGTGTGTGTGTGTGTGTGTGTGTGTCAGAGGTAATGAATGCTTGTGTTTTTCTTTACATTTGCCCCTGGTATCTTTGTGACACTCGCCCTGTCAATCAACATTGTTCGGTTGTTAAACACAAGTTAAGATAATATTCCATAAATGTTAGGCATCAATGGCATCTCTACTTTCATAACTTGTTATTAATAACCAATGAAATGCCTTGGATGCCACTCAGTCTGGTTTTCCTGCCACATTGTTTGATGATTGTGAAGAATGTCTTTAATCTTTTGGGCAGTAGCAGATCACAGAACAAGCCTGGAAGTGGAACCTGTCAGTTTATCCAAGTGTCTCAGCAAACCAACTTTCATCCAGATCTCCACAACTTGCCATTACTCCTCCTTAAGGAGATTATACTCATCACCTCCTGGCTCCTCTAAAAGATCATCTGAATGCATGCCAGTGTCTTCCTTTTGCTTAAATAAAACCCCGCTCTACATACCACTGTTTCAGACCATTTCAATCTTCTATTCATCTTCTACTGTATTCACACTAGCTCCTAAACTTTGGAAGAGCCTTCATCGGCCTGTCAGGTTGACTGGCCCTTTGATTCTTTTTAAATCACTA